TGCGACGAGTACAACTCAACAGACCGGTCGTACCATACCAGTACAGATCGACTGAGTTCGTCCAACACATGACTCACGCGAGTCACTATGAAGAGCCAGACCAAGCTATGTTTTGAGGTCACATCGCTCCACTCGAGTTTCCGAAGTTCACTGGCAAAGAGAATCCATCTGGATGGGTCTCGCGTGTTGAGAAGTACTTCCGTTACCAGTGCATTCCAGAAGAGCAGAAAGTGGCGCTGGCTACTTATCGCATGGATGACGATGCGAACCAATGGATCATGTGGCTAGATGAAGAGTTCGCGAAGCATGGAGTGATGATGACTTGGAGTAGTCTGTGCACCGAGTTATGGAAGAGGTATGGGTCATCGGAGAAGTCGTCTGGACATGAGACGTTGGCCAAAATTCGTCAAACCGGATTTGTTGACAAATATCAACATACCTTCGAGAAGTTGCGATTATGGGCGGATTGAAGCTAGAAATATCCGCCTATATTCGAGCTTTGAATCTGCAAACCACTAGGGAGGCGTATCAACAGACAAGATACATGAAGAGGAGATGCGACTGGAGAAGGGAGCAACACAGAGCGTGTCGCGAGCTGCCTCCACTGCCGCCAAAATGATTATGGCGCCGCCGCCAACTGCTCCGCCAACTGCGCCAGTACCAAGAAGAGCTCCACCACCTCCACCATGACGAATCATCCGCGACCTGTCACTGGAGGTAACTACTAGATGTCGTCGTGACAGATTGTGCTATAACTGCGACGAGAGGTTCACGTATGGGCATCGTTGCACCAACACGAATGTTTTCTTCATGATCGGCGATTTCAAGGAGGAAGATGGAGATGGAGATGGAGCGAAAGACAACCTCGGGGACGAGGTTGTTAAAAGGGGGGAGGATTGATGCGTGATAGCATCCTGGGCCGAGCCCATTGAGACTATTATTATTATTATTATTATTATTGTTGTTGTTGTTGTTGTTGATGTTGTTTTTGTATTAATTATTTGTTGGAATATTCGGTTATTATTTGGTTATTCGTATTAGTTTGGTATAGAATTATTATTTACTGTGTCTTGTTTAGGAAGTAATCGTTTACTTATTGTTTTGGGATTGGGTTTCCTTGTTTTAAGAGGAAAGGGTTTGTATGATAAGTCCTATAAATATGTACCTTTGCTCTTCGTTTTATTCATTCGATTAACAAAGTATTAGTACTTACTAGTTAGTAGAGAAAAGTAGCTCTTTTATCGTGTTTTCTAGTTCGTTCGTCAAATCGCTCGAGTTCTCCGGTGCGTGAAACCCTATCACGCATTAGAGTTTTGTTCGATCTTCGTCTTGCTAATGATGTCGGGTTTTTTGTTTTTTTTTTTGTTGCGGTAAGGGTGAAAGGGTGCACTGAACGGACTTTTAAGGAAAGAGTGGAATTAACTCAAGAATTTGTTTAGGTGAATTCAATACTTTAACTAGTTGGACTACTATTTTGTGGCTCAAGATACGGTGCATAATCATGGGTTATGCACCCATCAATAACTAAATCTGGATCCTTCATTCAAAAAATACCACACAATACCACCCTGGTACGGGGTGGTATCTTGTGGTACACAATGTTAAAAGTCGTAAATGACAGTTAATATACTTATACTATCATGTATTCAACCATCCTACAGTCTTGGTTTGTTCATACTACCATGGTACGCTTTTCATACCACAGGTATGCTCTTATTTCAATACCAGTTAATACCATATGGTATATGTTTGAACCTAACTGAGTGTAGGAGTGAGGTTCGAATGAGAGTTTGGGTCGAGAAGAAACGTGAGAACCGGGTTTGATCGGGGGAATCAGAATCAGAGAGAGTGAGTAAGAGAGAGATTAGAAAGAGAAGTAGTTCTTGTAGAGAGAGAATGGTGAAAAATGCGATCCCCTCACCCACCGTAGTAAATGCCATATTTATAGGCTTCATGGTGGTGGGTGAGTGGTTGACATAGGGAGAGATACAGTGATGTGACTACTGGGATACAATGATGTGACCACTAGCATACTAAGGCTTTTAGGCCATCCCTCTACCTAGGATGAGTCAGAGATCCACTCATGGCCCTGATGTGACTACCCGCTTGGAAGAGGTGCGCTTCCCTCATCTTCTGGTTCAGCCTACGCTAGTCCTCCCCTAGCGCCTGTCATCTCTTCGCGCCTGGACGTGGTTAGCCATGATGAGGCGGCACACTCGGGGTCCTCGCGCTGCCGTGTTGGGGTCTCATCCAGTTGCGCCCGGTTCCTTGGCGTGGTTAGGCCCGAGTCCTATGCCCAACAATTGCCCCCCAGCAGGGGGTGTTTTGTGAACGCCCCCTGTTTAGGTTTCCTCCGGACTCGGGCCGGTCCGCTTGTAGCTATTGGTTGGCGCCGACGTGCGCGATACTATGAACTGGCGTCGCCTTGCCCTGACGCCATGTGCCATCGCGCTCGTTGTTGGGCTTCATTCGGTCGCCACGCGCAATGCTTGGCGCGCGCTGTTGTGCGTACGGGGTCGTTTTCTTCGTGCGCGGTACGCGCTAATGCGCTCGTTGTTGGTCTTTGTTCGCTGAGCGCGATACTCGCGCGCGATGCGCTCGTGGAGTTGTTTTCTTTTCGCAGCACGACGCATGTTTTCCTCTTCCAGGCGTTATCCTCGCGATAAGCGCTCGCGGTTGATTTTTGTTCGTTGAGCGTGATACTCGCGCGCGATGCCCGTCGATGCGTGTCTTTCTTTTCCTCGCGGGTTCTTTTCGCAGCACGACGCATGTTTTCCTCTTCCAGGCGTTATCCTCGCGATAAGCGCTCGCGGTTGATTTTTGTTCGTTGAGCGTGATACTCGCGCGCGATGCCCGTCGATGCGTGTCTTTCTTTTCCTCGCGGGTGTGCCATGCCCCCCAGTCGGTGCGCGGCGCTGGTGGCGTCGCCGACTAATGCCTATGATCGTAGGTGTCCACGTGTCACTGTGTGGTTAGGCTATTTGGGCGGGGGTTTTTTGAATTTCGAAAAGATTTGGTGGGATCTGACTGTTACGGATCCCAATGTGGCTTTAACCTTTCGCATTCCGCCGAACGGCCTTGGCCCTTCGCTTTCCCCCGGATCAATTATAAATATGAGATTGTTGAAGGGAGGAGGGCTCACTTGTTTTCTCCGATCATAGCCTCGCTTTTGTTTTCCTAAGATTTCCCTTCTCCTTCACTTCTCTTTCCTCGAGATTTTCTCTCCTCCTTTTACTACCCCAATCCTCTTCTGCTGTTGATCGATTTCGAGTCGATATCATGTCCAACATCAACAACCAGGAGGCCGAGGTCGTACAAGGCGAAGAAGGTAATGTCTCTCCTCTCTCGCATACTTCTTCTGACCATTCCGGTGGTGGGAATGGAGGTTCTGGGGATTGGAACGGTGGATCCGACGGTGGGGGTGGCAGTAGTGGTGGTGGATTTCCGGCGACGCCGACGTTCGATGCTAGGTCGGGCGATGGGGCCGGAAGCTCTTCTGATCAGGGTATAACCGCTTCCGGTAGTGGGGAGGTGGCGCGGCCGGCTCGGGGGACTCTGATTATTCGGCGTAACCAGGGTGGTGGGTCGGTTGCCGGCGACGAAGCGGCCGACGAGGAAATCGCCGACGAGGAAGTCGCCGATGGTGAGGTCGGCGACGATGAAGTCGCCGACGATGAAGACTTCGGCGATGAGACAGAGCAAGGAGACTTTGATGTGCAATTCGCGCCGCGAGCAGTCGAGCGCGTTACCGAAGCCATGGCCCGCTTGGGGCCGCAGGGTGTTGGCTCTACATACCGCGTGATCGAATGGGCGGAGATGTGGGGTGACCAGCCGGCGCCGTCTGACAATCTCAAGCGCGGACCCGAGCACTCCTCGACGTATGACGTGGATGACGTGGAGGAGTTGGTTCGCGGACTGGGTTTGCCCCCCAGTTGGGAGTACGCCGCTCCCTCGGTGCGCAGTATGGTGGGTAACTGCCCCCCTGGGTGGTTCGGTGTGTATGCCGAATACTGGGTTATGGGGTTCAAGTTCCCCATCGACCCGCTGTTATGCGCCATATACGACCGCCTCAAATGCTCCATCGGTCGGCTCTCCCCGTCAGTGATCATGCACGCGAGTTGCCTTCGTCTCGCGTGCAAGAGGCTTAACATCGTGCCTACTTACGGCTTATTCCGCAAGATGTACAAAATCAAGGAGCCGACAAAGGTGAGCGACTGTCTCTCCATCCAGCGGCGCGACCACCGCCCCGATGGCTTCGTGTACGGCTCGCCCAAGTTGAAGAAGACTTGGTTTGGTCAGTTTTTCTATGTTAAGCCCGCTCCCGGGGAATGGGCGAGTGGGTCGCTGCCGGAGCCCACCACCTGGATGAAGGGCAGTATAGCCGGTTTCGAGTCCGACGTCGGTAAATACGACGGGCTCAACGATGAGTATGAAGCTTGCATGCCTCACCGCATGAATTTATACAAGCGGGGAGTCCGCGAAGCCTGTTTGGAAGAGCTCTTTGGAGATGGTTAGTTATGTTTCCTTCCTTTTTGTATTCTATCTTATTAACCGCTCTCTTACGATTTATTGGCGCAGGTGTTGACTTCTCTTCCCTCGCGAGTATGATGTCAGTGGATGACGTCGCGCCGCGTGCCGACAAGAAAAGGAAGAAGAAGGTCGGCGCGGCGCCAAAACCCTCGAAGCGGAAGGAGGTCGAGCAACCGCAACCGCAGGTTGTAGAGAGGCCCCGCAAGACCCTTCGCATAGCGGAGCCAACCGTCCAAGCGGCGAAGCAACTGCCCGCGACGCCACAATTGTCCGCCGCGCAGCAGCTCTCACTGGCGCTTTCGGAGCCCGAGGCGACGGTGAGCCGGCCCGCTCGTCGAGGGGGGGATGGGGCTGGCAGCTCATCCGGGACATCCGCTACCACTCCTCCCGTCAGCGCTGTACCTCCTTCCGCCGCCGTCCACCAAGTCCGCGACGTGCGGATTCACACCGCCGCGGCGTGCAACTTGGTGTCAGCCAATCATGCGCTTCGGGCGATCGGGCCCATTCTCTCCGTTCCCCCGCGGGTGGAGAAGACGGACCCTCTTCACGATCTGGCGCAGATCCATTTCGCGGTAAGACTCGGTTTAGGTTAAGGTTTATTTTCTTAGCCTCCCCCCTTCTTTTTTGCTTGGCTAAGACTCGTGGCGTTGCAGGGTTTGTCGGCGACCTTTCGCGCTCAGCAAGAGCGCGCCTCGATGCGCGCCAAGATGAAGGCCGACGAGGCGCAAATCGTGCAGCTGGAGGGGAAGGTCCTCGGGGCGAACAATCGCGCGGAGGACGCTACCTCTAAGGCCAACGAGGCACTGGAGTCACTCGGCCTTTTGCAGAGCCGATTGGCCGCGGACGTTGAGGCGGCCAAAGAGCAGGTGCGGAACGAGGAGCGCACTGCTCTCCGAGAAGAACTGGAAGTCTCCTTTTCTGAGAGATTGCGCAAAGCTCGCGAGGAGTTCCAGAAGGAGAAGGACGACCTTGTTCGCCTTCACACCGTTGCTAAGGCGGAGGCCGTTCGCGCAGCTGAAGTCGCGGCTGTCCGCCAGTTCAAGTCTTCCCAACCTTTCGGGAAGATCATGGCGGATGCCATGACCAAGGCCGTGATAGCGGTTGGTAAGAAGGTCCGCCCTGAGAATCCGGGGATGCGCTGGGACACTCGCGAGATGGTTCATCACGTCAAAGTGTGGATCAGCGAGAAGCGTCCTTTGGATTCTGACTCCGAGTCCGAGGAAGAGGAGGAGGAAGAAGTGGAGCGCCGGGAGGAGGTTGAGCGTCCGACAGGGGAGGAGAGGAAGGATGGAGAGGTGGCCGACGAAGATGAGGAGGACGAGGAAGAAGAGCGTCCTCTATTGCGCCGCAAGTTGAGCAGGGAGGGCGGACAGCCCGATACTGGTTCTGCTTAGATGTGGCCCAATTGAGCCTTAGCTGTTTTGTTGTTTTCTTGTACTCTTCTTTTTTTTTTTTTTTTTTTTTTTTGTGTGTAGCCGCGCACGGCATCATGGCTCCCTCTTTGAATAGAACAAAGGATTTTCGACTATGTTTGTGTGCGCGAATGAGTAATAACTTTGTGTGCGCGAATGAGCGACAACCACTGCTTTTGCCTTGTCACCTCGCGCGGAGGATGTGCGAGCTGGGTGCTCATCTTTGTTCTTTCGAACTTAGGCGCGAATAGTGCTAGACTATTGCTAATATTTTGTTCTTTCGAACCGTGTCCTTTTGCGCGAATAGTGCTGGACTATTGCTAAGTTTTGTTCCGTGGAACTGAGCGCAGAGTGCTGGACTCATACTAATTTTTTGTTCTTTCGAACTGATTGGGCGCGAATAGTGCTGGACTATTGCTAAGTTTTGTTCCGTGGAACTGAGCGCAGAGTGCTGGACTCATACTAATTTTTTGTTCTTTCGAACTGATTGGGCGCGAATAGTGCTGGACTATTGCTAAGTTTTGTTCCGTGGAACTGAGCGCAGAGTGCTGGACTCATACTAATTTTTTGTTCTTTCGAACTGATTGGGCGCGAATAGTGCTGGACTATTGCTAAGTTTTGTTCCGTGGAACTGAGCGCAGAGTGCTGGACTCATACTAATTTTTTGTTCTTTCGAACTGATTGGGCGCGAATAGTGCTGGACTATTGCTAAGTTTTGTTCCGTGGAACTGAGCGCAGAGTGCTGGACTCATACTAATTTTTTGTTCTTTCGAACCGATTGGGCGCGAATAGTGCTGGACTATTGCTAAGTTTTGTTCCGTGGAACCATGTCCTTTTATTTATTGCGCTAACGCGCTATTACAAACGTGGTACACGTTAACCGGCGCGGTGGTATTTCCTTAGATTCTGCGCATTCCATGTTCTTGGAACCTTGTTGCCCCCCATCTCGCTGAGTTTGAATGTGTTGGCGCCTACCACTTCGCGGATCAAGTAAGGGCCTTCCCATGTCGAGGCAAGCTTCCCGTGCCTGGGGTCAGGGCGGAAGTTCCGCCGCAGCACTTGGTCGCCAAGGATCAACTTGTGCGGGACCAGCTTCGCGTTATGGTACTTGGCTACCTGTTCTTTCATGGCGGCTAGCCTGATGGCTGCCAACTCACGCCTTTCCTGCGACAACTCGAGCTCTAGTAGGCGCGCCTCGTCGTTTGCTTCTTCGTTGTACCCGGTGATTCGGTAGGTCGGCGTCGTTGTCTCGATGGGAATCACCGCGTCAGTGCCGTACGTCAGAGCGAAGGGGGTTTCGCCCGTTGCCACTTTGTACGTGGTGCGGTGCGCCCATAGCACTGTGTGGAGTTCGTCCGCCCAATTGCCCTTGGCTTCATTCAGGCGAGTGTGGAGGCCATGCAAGATCGCTTTATTGGAGGACTCCGCTTGGCCGTTGGCTTGAGGGTAAGCGACCGACGCGAATCTTGCAATGATTCCCACCTCGTCGCAGAAGTCCATTACTTCTGCGCAATCGAATTGCTTCCCGTGGTCGAAGATGAGTGCATTCGGAACCCCGAAGCGCGACAAAATGTTGTTGCGCAAGAAACGTGTTACCTGCTGCGCCGTTATGGACGCCAGCGCCTCGGCCTCGATCCACTTAGTGAAGTAGTCGACCGCCACGATTATGTATTTGCGCTTCCCCTTTGCTGTTGGGAAGGGGCCCAAGAGATCAACTCCCCATTGCGCGAAAGGCCATGGGCTTAAGTTGCCCTGGAGCTCGGTGGCCGGCAAATGGTGTTGGCGCGCGTTGACTTGGCATTTATGGCACTGGTCTGTATAGCTCTTCGTATCTTTCTTGACTCGCGGCCAGTAGTATCCATGCAAAAGGATGGTACGCTCCATGCTGCGCGGCCCCGCGTGCATTGCGCACAGCCCCTCGTGCAGTTCACGCACTAGGTCGTGCGCCTCCTCCTGCCCAATGCATTTGAGGTATACACCCGAGTACGACCTTCGGTATAATTCTCCCTCGATAAGCGTGCAACGAGCTGCCTTTTGCCTTAGAGCCCAAGCTTGCTTGGGGTCTTCTGGCACCACCCCCTCTTGGAGGTACTTCATAATTGGATGTCTCCAATCTTCGTATGGCACGAGCTGGGTCGTGTTGACTGCTACCCCCGGGGTGGTTTCATCTTCTTCTTTTTGGACGGACACGAGGCGCGTCGATTCGAAGTCTGTAGCCGTTGCTAGCTTGGATAGCGCGTCGGCATGCGCATTTTCCTCCCTTGGTATCTGTGCATACGTTACTGATTCGAATGTTGTGGCCCTCTGCTTAACGCGCTCCATGTAATGCGCCAGTGTGTCTTCCTTTGCGTCGAACGCACCATTCAGTTGGTTGACCGCCAGGGAGGAGTCGGAAAGTATACGCACCGTTCTTGCCCCGAGGTCGTGAGCGGCCGTCATTCCTGCCAAGATGGCCTCGTATTCCGCGGCGTTGTTTGTCTTCAACGCCCTGAACCTGATTGCGATTTCGTGCATTACGCCGGCAGGTGTGCGCACCACAACCCCTGCTCCGGCGCCATGCTTACTTGCCGCTCCATCGACATAGACTTCCCAAACGCCCTCCGGCGTTGTTTCGAGGGTCACCCCTTCCGCGATGAAGTCCGCTAAGATTTGGGCCTTGATTGCTGGCCTCGGCGCGTATTGAATATCGTACTCCGAGAGCTCCACCGCCCATTTGACCATGCGCCCCGACACTTCCATTGAAGTCAGAATCTTTTTTAGTGGCAGGTTGGTCAGGACGGTGACCTGGTGCGCTTGAAAGTACGGGCGCAGTTTCTGCGAAGCGCTCACTAACGCCAGGGCAGCTTTCTCGATCGAGGAATATCTTGTTTCCGCGCTAACGAGAGTGCGCGAGGTGTAATACACTGGTTGCTCAGTCCTGCCATCCCTCCTAGATATCAGAACCGCGCTCACGGCTCTTGTTGACACGGCGAGATACAAGAAAAGTTTTTCATTAAGCTTGGGAGCGGTCAGTACAGGGGGGGATACAAGATACGCCTTTAATTCCTGGAAGGCCGCTTCGCATTCCGTGGACCATGCGAAGCGCGTCCCGTTCTTGAGTGTCTGGAAGAAGGGCGCGCATTTGTCAGCGGACCTTGGTATGAACCTCCCCAGTGCCGCTATCTTGCCGTTCAGAGATTGGATTTCCAATGCGTTCCGCGGCGCTCGTAGTTGTTGGACCGCGGTGATTTGCTTCGGATCGACCTCTATGCCGCGCTTGGTTATCATGAACCCCAGAAATTTCCCCGCCTCTGCTCCAAAGACGCACTTGAGTGGATTGAGGCGAAGGCTGTGCTTGCGGAGGGCTTCGAAGGTCTCGCGCAGGTCCTCCAGGTGTGACTTACCCGCCTTGGTTTTGACGATGAGGTCGTCCACATACGCCTCGATGTTCCGCCCGATTTGCTGCGAGAAAACTGCGTCGATCATTCTTTGGTATGTCGCGCCCGCGTTTTTCAACCCGAACGGCATACCTACGAAGCAGAAGTTCCCGAAAGGTGTCATGAAAGCCGTTTTTTCTTCATCTTCCTTGGACATTTGGATTTGGTGATATCCTGAGAACATGTCGAGGAAGGACAACGTCTCGTGGTCGGCGGTCGCGTCGATCAGCTGGTCGATGCGCGGCAGGGGGTAAGGGTCTCCCGGGCATACTTTGTTGATTGTGGTGTAGTCAACGCACATCCGCCAGGCTCCTGACGATTTTTTGACCAGGACCACGTTCGCCAGCCACTTCGGGTACTTCACGGGGCGGATCAATCCGGCTGCTAGCAGGCGCGCAACCTCCTCTTCTATCGCCTTCAGCTTGTCCCCGGTGAACGTTCTCCGCCCTTGTTGCCTTGGTTCGGCGCCGGCTGGGACCGCGAGGCTATGCTGCGCTACCTCCCTGGGCACTCCTGGCATGTCCTCTGTGCACCACGCGAAGAGCTCCTTGTACTCCTTCAGCAGCGCTATGAGTGGTTCGATTGCGTCGCTGCTGACGTGAGTGGAGATGCGTATCTTCCTGGTCGGCTCGGCAGGGTCTAGCGCGACCTCGAAATCGGAATCCATGGATTCCGGGCGGGGCTCTTCTGCTCTTGTGTCGACGATGTTGGTTTGGCGTGCCACAACGCGGTCTTCCCAAGTCGTTCCTCGCGCCTCCCCGACTCCTCCCTGTGTTGGAAACTTGAGCTTCTGGTGACACGTCGATGGGAGGGCCATGAACTTCGCGAGGAAAGGTCGGCCCAAGATGCCATTGTGCGCCGATTCGCAATCGACGATTGTGAACTCTATTTGCTTGGAGACGCGGGGCTCCTGGTCCCCAATAACCACTGGGAGGGTGACCATTCCAATTACCGGGACTCTGGTTCCGGAGAAACCAACTAAGTTGCCGTGTGCGCGCCTGATTAGGCGCGGATCGATATCCATTTTGTTGATGGTACTCTGGAAGAGGATGTCGGCCGCACTACCCCCGTCTATCAGGAGACGGTGGGTCTTGCAGGCGGCAATCAGCGCGGTGACGATGAGTGGCTCCT